TTTTTTTTATGCTTCTTTGATTTAAAATTTTCATTATTTATATTTAAAGTATCATCCAGAGTTGTATCAAACAATTCATGATTTTGACACTTTTTTTCAGTAGTTACACACTCTTTGAGACAGTTATTAATAACATCAATAGATTCACTTTCATTGGAACAATCAATAAAACTATTATTATCTTTCTTCTTTGATTTGGAGCCTTCATTAATCATACTTATAACATTTAATGATGTATCTATTGATTCATGATTTTGAAATATTTCATTTGCTATAGTTAAACATTCATTAGAACTATAATATTTTATATTATTATCATATAAATGTTTTTTTTCTTTAGATATTTTCTCTGTATCAAAATTATCAATTGAACTTAAATTAAGTTTTTTTTGCTTTATATATTTTTTTGATTTAAAAAGTTCATTACTTGTTTTCAATTTTTTAAATTCAGATAATTTATTCTTGCGATTTTCAGATTTTGTTTTTTTCATAATTATATTTAATATTTCTTTCTAAATAAGTATTATGGTAATTTATACTTTTCTTTAGGGACTTTTTTATACCTGAAAATAGATAAAAACTATAATAATTATTAAAAAACTATTGAGTACCTCAGTATTCACTTAAAATAATAAATATAATATATTTATATTATACATTGACAATAACAATAATATAGGGTTGCCAGATTTTAAAATTAAAAATATAAGACTAAAAAAATGTCAATTTCAAATGTCCCAAAGACAATGATAGATATTTTTTTTATGAAAGTCAACAATAGGACAATCTTTATTTATTTAAATGAGGGGTGAGTTAAATTTAACAAAAGTTTTCTGAGTTATAATTTTTATACCTCTTACAGTTTTTTAACTCCCCGTATCACAACTAACTAATGTGGTTTTAAAATGAAAACCATTTCTCGTATATTTCTACATCAATATTAGAACATGAATAATATTCTAACAGCATATGGGCATAAGAACTTATTTAAGTATTAACATAACATTCTTAAAATATGAATAATGATACATCAAATATACTAATAATAATTTTCTGATAAACTAATTTATTTTATTAACCGGTAAACATATCATAAAATTATAACTACTTATTTACTATTTATATTATATGTTTTACTGTATTTACATTCTTTATGGTTATATAGAAAAAAATAATTAACTACTTATTAATAGAAACAAAATTGGTATTTTATAGGGTTGCTGATTGATGATGATAATGAATAACTAATAATATCAATTGAAACTATTATAAACATTTTTAATACACAAAAGTAAAAATTTAAAAATGAATACAAATGATAAAATATGTTTATTTTATTATTTCACTACAATAAAGAAATATAATTTATTATATAGGTAAATCTTTGAAAATGTGGACATTTTAGTATCCAAAAAAGAGTTGTTGGAACAACAGTACAAATATACAATATTATATTTACAAAAAACCTGAACAAGAATGGATTTAGTAACAATGTTGAATTATAATAAATGACTTAGAATATTAAAAATAAAGTAAGATATAAATTATTTGGTGTATTAATTTGTAGGCATTAGTTAGTTGATATATAGAATAATGAGTCAACTGCTAAGTAACACAATAACACAAAAATATATAGCAGTATCCAGTGGCGTACAATGGAGGGTTTAAATGTAGAAGCTGTTAACCCTGATTTTTTTGGTGCTTAAGTGGACCTCTGATCCAAAAACATCTAAATAATAATTCTACTACTTATAAAAATAAACTATAGAATAATATAGCTATTAGCCAATAAGTTTATATATAGGTAACCAACTTAATACTAATAAGTAAGGCTCGGAAGTTGATGACCTTAAAAACATTAAAAAATGACTGAAAAAAAGATGCCATAATATGACATAAAAATGACAAAAATGTCCTTAAAAAATTACATAAATAATTACAAATATTTATTCTAAATTAATAAAAATACCTTTTTTTTTTTTTTAAATATGAGTATTTTATTTTATTTTACTATAACATTCCATATAAATTTATCAAAACTTACAAATTACTCAAAATATGACAAACATTTGTTTTATACATTTATCAAAGCTTACAAATTACTCAAAAATCAAAATCATTGCATTGATGATTAGATTGTATTTTATGTTATCATAAGTAAATAAATGACGATTATTTGTTTATAAATATTTACATTTGGAAAAATTTCTCTCAACGTCCATTGATGTGATTGGGAGACGCAAACAAGCACTAACCGACGTTTTAATTTTCACCATTTCGAAAATATTATGAAAAAATAATAAAATTTAGATATAATAGGTATTATTCACTATAACATGACAATGAAGCGACAAGATAATATCAAATACTAATCGAATATTAGGAAAAAATAATAAAATTAGGTATAATACTATTCACTAAAACACGACAACGACGAATGTAATTGACGAGATAAAATCGGTCAAGTCATCGGCATAATGGTCAATAAGAAACAATAAGAAATGAACTAGTGTGAAATAAGTAAAAATGACTAAAAATGTAGAAAAATTACTTAAAAATGTCAATAAATGACTTAAAAAGTAACGAACACCAAAAAATGCAAAATAAAAATTAGTTATTTGAATTCATGTGCTAATGAAACACAATTGTAGCCAGGATAGCATCTTCTAAAAAGTTTGGAAAAAAATATAAAATACATCAACTTCAGAGTCCTACTAATAAGTACATATCATAAATAATTGAATACATTTGCCAATAACAGCTTATTAGAAAATGCTTTATTATATTAATTTCTATTTCCTTACAAAATTTTATAACTGAGTCTCAGTATCCATAAATTGTATTTTTAGTAAAAATGTATACCTATTATATATATATAAGTATATATTATATTATATATATATTTAAGTATAAATAGTTATACTAAATAATTAGCAGAGAATCTAAATTTTATTTAAATTAATATTCTATATTTTATTAGTATGTTATAATTATTAACAAAATTATAAAATTATATTTAAGGTGTGGAGACAAAGCCCTTACGGGTCTGTTTTTGAAAGTGACGTAAGAGTTTGGTAGTATTATTCTATTTAATATGTTACCTCTATTTATTTATGTGTGTGGCACTAGCGTCATCTGCAGAAAAAATAACTTATTATAATTTAGTCCGAATACTAACAAACTGGATTCTAAAATCAAATCATAAAATGTTTCAAAAATAATACTTGGGTTCCGTATAAAAAATCAATATTCTTAGTATTTTCAATCAAAATTGTATGTCAAATTAATTTCATACATTTACTGTCAAATATTCAAAATCCTAGAACTTAACTTAACCAACAGTGAGTTGCTTGAAATTAATAATATACTTCATACAAATATTTAAAAAACTCACTTTAAAATGAATTAAACATTTAATGCATTTCACTGCACATGATTGTAAATATCTAATTAAATTAAATCAAATATTACCACTTGTTTATTCAGAACTCTAATAAATTGTAACGATAATTACTAAATAACTTTCACGATGGATGCATAAAAATGTCCACCATTCCCGGCGCTTATAATATTTAAAACGGTATTTGCACAGTTTAGGTTAGTTTAATTATAGATTAGATTAAAATAATAGGGTGCACGTGCACTTTCTATCTGATCAATGTAATCATATAAAAAATATAAACAAACCAAAAACGCCGTGATTCGATATCATCACTGATAAGAAAAAAAGTCTTGATGAGAAATTATGCTTTTAATAGCTGCTATTTATCACTTACTATTTTAAAATAACAAAAGCATTATCAGATTTTATAAAAAAAAATAGCAGTTTACTATCAGTAAAAAGCATAAATAAAAGATAAAGCTGTTGAGAACATTCAGTGACGTATTTTCAATTTTTCCTGGGGGAGGGGGGTCCACAGTTTATACATAACTAATATAAATTATATATTATATTGTAATAGTTACATCCTTATGCAGTTTTTGGAGGAAATTGAACTAAATATATAATGTAATAATCGTATAGTCTTATGTAATATTATATATATATATATATATATATACCTATATATTGTATTTAACATTATATATTATAAAGTATTGTTATAAAATAAATTCTAGTTGTCTCGATTTTTTGGCCAACTCCTCTATCACTTCATCAATAGTAATTTCAACTTCCCTATGAATGTTTAACATAGCCAATTCTGCAAATATGTAAGAATTTTAGTTTATTTTTTTATTTTTTGGAGAGATTCTGGGGAGGGTCCAGTACCCCTGGACCCCCCCTGTAAATACGCCACTGAGAACATTAGTTTATGAGTTCTTGAGTTCATTATGAGTAGTTCAAGATCCAACCGCGAACACAGAAGGGTTAAGATTTAAACCCCCTCCCCGAAATAATCAGAAAATATTAAAAAAATATGACCCAACCTACAAATGTAATAAGTAGCTATTTCTAAGTTACATACTCTCAGTAAAAACATAAAAATCCGGTCTATACTTATAAGTTATAGTTAAATTACATTTTTTTTTATTTTAGCGTCCGGGACGTAGACTCTTCAAGTCTTCTTGCTACGGCCCTGGTACCCATATGGGCCCTCTGCGCTAGTGGGTTAATCACAGAATGGATTAAATCTTTTCTGATCTAATTTCTATTATTTTTTTAATCTATTCTGTGGGTTAACTACAACATAATTTTTACCAGCAATTGTTTAAACAGTGGTTGTAATAATCTACCTATTTATGTTTGTTGTTTTGGGTATTTTACTAACAACATTAGATAAAATAGGTAAAGCCACGTCTCCTTAATGAAATTCGTACAACCAATCTATGGAATATAAGTTCTTTTTACGTAATACCTTTTTGGATTGATAGAAGGCGTAACCAAGGGGGGGGGGGGCTGAGAGGCTACAGATATTTAATGCATATAATATTGTGCATCAGTCGCGAATCAAAAATTCAACTTCAGAGTTAATACATACCACACTCATATTATTATCTATTCATAGAGACATTGAAAATTCAGATGTAATGTGTAAAATAATTTATTTTATTTTACTATAAAATACAATATTAAAAGTATTTAAAGTATATAAGAGTATTATTAAATAAATATATGTTAAGGGTTATAGAAACCAAAATCTAAAATATAACTTTAGCATCCACATGTTAAGCTCTTATGGAAGAATTTATCTAACACACAGTTGTGTAAAAATTGATCAGCTCCCCCCACCGAAGAAAATTCCTGGCTACGTCACTGGATTTTCAGGTGTTTATTTGTACGGTTTTTTTGTTAAAATATGCAAAAATATGCAGGTATAAAATTTTGATATTTAATCAATCTAGTAAAGATTTGTGGATACTCATTGACCATATGTATACAATATTGAAAATAGCAACATGTATTTTATGCAAAATCCAGTCTTTAATTATCACTATTATAGTCAGAGGTGGTATTAGGGAGAGGAAGATGGGGACTCAATAAATATCATCGTATGCTAATTAATAAAAAAAAATGTAGGGAATGGTTAGTAATTCTTGAACTATGATAGGGTATAATTTTAACATTTTCCTTGGGCTTAAAAATTCCTAATTTCGCTTCTGACTGTAGTTACTGTATTTTGTAACTTACACTATTGATTATAAACAGTATATTATTTATAATCAATACTTATATGCTGGAACTAACCTTCGGAAAGTGCCAGATCTAAGGGAGGAGGCAAGTATATGGTACTATTATAAAACCAAGAACTATAATAAAAATACAATTGACATCACTATGACACCAAGTACTTAGAGTTCACAAAATAGGTAATAAGAATACCAGAATATAACTTAAGGAATTTTAGACTTTGTAAACCATGCTTCAAACAAAATAGTCTTCAAATAATACAGGGAATAATTTGAATTACAATTAAAATGTTGCTAAGATGAGTGGAATGATAAGAGAAGATAGAATAATTAACTAATATGTGAGAGGTATTATTGGTTAGGTCATCTATAGTGGACAAGATGAGAGAAAATGGACTGAAATGGTTTGGACAAGTAATTAAACGAGAGGAAACAAATTATTAGATATGATTGAGAATATGAGGACCGTTGGTGTGTGCATAGGGGATTGGAAAATCGAGACGAGTGGAGGTTTAGGACAAGGGTGGTTGACCACAAAGAGTTGGAAAAAAAGCATAGTAAAATCTAATGATCCACTTCCAAATTTAATGTTGGATTTACAAACTCTAGGAGCCTTGTGTAGTTGAGTGTAATATGTTCATGGAAACATTGAAAACAACTAATAAATGTACATTCATTGGTAAACTCTAAGATAATTTTTAGAGTTCAGAATATCAAATTTCAAAAAATACTAGAAAATGTTTAGTTTCTTAACACCTAATGTTAAATATTTATTAACTTAAATTTAAATTTTACTTATTTTTCTTAAAATATTAAGCATAAATCAAAAATAAAACAAGTTTATAATATGTATGTCAGTAAAAATTAAAAGAAAATAAGAAAGGCTTAGTTTTACTTGAATACAATTTTAACTTAACTTCAGAAACGCATTGTAATATTAAATAAGATACTTTTTGCTTTGCACACAAACTGAATTAGATGTATATTAAATATTAAAACATTTTTATTACAAGATAATAATTTGGTTATTAATGTTATGATTAAATTTATATTTAAACTATAATGATACATTAAATAGTTCAATATAATTTTTTTCAAATGTTCTTATACTATTGATCAAATTACTTTTTTTCTTGTTGGGCTTGAAACTGTTGTTGTAATTTAGTCAACTTGTCTCTATACTCATCTTGTTGAGTCTCTAATGTTTGTATCCGATCATCAATCCTTTTCAATTCATTTTTAATATAACTCATACGTTTTTCAATGTTTTCCTTAGCTTCGGTATGATCTTGGCGCAGTAATATGGGCCCAACCATTTTGTAAACTTCACCAGAAGGTTTTAATAAACTTAATTCTTCTTTAACAATTGAATTTTCATTTAATTGTCCGTCTAGCTGTTGACGCATTGTAGTTAACATATTAACTTCTTTTTGACATTGTTTAAAGGCGTCCAATTCTCGTTGAAACTGTTTCTGTAGTTCTTCAGCAGCCATTTTTTAAAAAAAGGAAAAGTTGACAGTTTAATAATTTATAAATATTTTAATTTTAAACTACTTAATCACTTGAAACATTTATTTTTCATACAAAAGTATTTTTTTTGTAAATTTTTAACTTAACCAAAGATTGGTAGTCCTATAAAATGATTCTAGATTGCAGCATTAGAAATACTATCGGGAAAATCAAAAAAATTATTATTTATTGAAATATAATGTTACAAAAAAAGAATATTGTCTTATGATTCCGTTGTCTTTTTAAAAATTTGAGAGACATTTAACATTAAATTTATAAATTGAAAAAAAGGAATAACTAAACAAATTGTTTAAAATAAATGTAATATATCGAGTTGGAGTTATCGATAGCATATTCCATGTTCGATAGTGTATTTTTTGATAAGCTGTTATCTATAATAAATCTTTGTTATCAATATATTTAATTTGTTACTATTATTATTTCTGTAAAATTTAAATGTATGTTATGTACTTATGATAATGTAATACACCGCAGAATTTGTCTGTTATATTATTCTATGCCTTATTCTATATATTATCTTAATTATTTATTATTTACACATTATCCATGAACTAAAAATTATAAATTCTGGGTATAAAGTTTACATTTCAGTAAGATAATTTTATAACAATATGTAATTTTGTATTTTAATAATTCATCAACTTTTATTCATTTACTTTTTGTACTGCTGATGTATACAATATTATAGTTTCTTATAATTATATAAAATGAGTAACATATATATTCAAGAACCTCCAACTTCTGGAAAAGTAAGTGGTTTAAAGATTAATTTTTTATTAAAATATGTACTTACCTATTTGAAATATAGAATGATAAACTTTAAAAATATCACTTACTACTATTTCCTTCCATTTTTCTTGATTACATAAATATTTAAATGTACACAATTGATGAATTACTTACATTATTATAAATTTTGTGTTATCTAAATTATTGTTTTAATCTCTTTATTATAATGTACTTTAAATGTAATGTATGTAATTATTTTTATGTAATATTTTAATATTAATATACCTTTTATTACAAGAAGATTTTCATAGCTTAATTACTATCTTTGTTTATGTATATTTTAATAATATATTATAGTTTTTAGAATATGATGAGTATTTTGATATAATATATATGATTGAAATAGTGTATGTACAGAAGTCTAAGTATTTTAATGAATAATATAAATAACTAAAGCAAGTAATAGATTAGAAGCTTACTTATAATATTAAGTAGATAACTGTGTTTTAAAATTTGTTGGAGTATTTGATGAACATAAAGATTGAAGTTAGGATGAAACTTTCAAGTTTAAGTGAATTTTTAGGTTTTATTAGTAAATTGTGGAAATCTTATTGAGAAGACTTATATGTGATCTTCGATTATTTTTAAATTGTAGGTCTTTATGTCAGTTTTCATTTCGTATGAACCAAGATTGATAATGTTTTATAAAAAAACTATCACTTAAGAATGTACTTACACAAAGGCAAAAAAAAAAAATGCACATTTTATTAAGAATAATGTTATTAGGTGGTTCTCAAGACATCATTTGGAGATATAGAAGTAGAGTTATGGTCAAGAGAAGCTCCAAAAGCATGTAGAAATTTTGTACAGCTATGTCTTGAAGGATATTATGATGGTGTTTTATTTCATCGTATTGTCAAAGGATTTATAGCTCAAGGTGGTGATCCAACTGGAACTGGAGCAGGCGGAGAATCAATTTATGGTCATCCTTTTAAAGTAATGCCTTTATTTCAATTTTTATTATGTATCCATGTTGTACTTTTTTTATTAATAATGATATTATTTCTTTTAGGATGAAATACACTCACGTCTACGATTTAATCGCAGAGGATTGGTTGCTATGGCTAATGCTGGAAAAGATGATAATGGGTCTCAATTTTTTTTTACTTTAGGCTCTACACCTGAACTTCAATCTAAACATACAATATTTGGAAAAGTTGCTGGTGATACAATATTTAATTTGACTAAGTTAAATGAAACTCTGGTGGATAAGGTAAGAAATTCTTAATTTTAAATTTTACTATCGTTAATTTTTAAAAAAATAATGGGTAAAATTATAGTTTTTTATTTTTAGGAAGATAAACCTGTATACGATCAAAAAATCTTAAAAACTATTGTACTAAATAATCCTTTCCCTGATATTAAGCCAAGAATTGAAAAAAAAATTGAAAAAATTGAAAAAACTTCTAAAAAAAATGAAAGTATTGGAGTTAAGTAAGTTAAAAAAAAATGTATTAATTACAGGATTTATTTTCTTATTAATAGATTTTTAATGTAAAAATGTACAATGAATTATTTTAGAAATTTCAAACTTTTATCGTTTGGAGAAGAAGCTGAAGAAGATGAAGAAGAACTTATTGATGCTGTTAAAGTATTTAGTGGTAGACCAAAATCAACTCATGATGTACTTAAAGATCCTCAATTAAGTTCAGAGCCTGCTATTACAGATGATTATCTAAAAGATGATATAATACCTACCTCTTCTAGCGATCTAACTTCTAAGTAAAATGATTTTGATTTTAAACTGCATTTGAATTTTATTAAAATAAATACATTTTTATTCTTAGAATAAATGTGGATGATGTTCGTTCAAAATTGTCATCAAATGGTAAAAACAAAAATGTTACTTCAAAACCAATACACCAATCAAATGAAGATGATTCTGATGATTATGAACTTGGAAAGGATTTGAAAGAAGATAAAAAACGAAAAACGTAATTATAATCAATAGATCATTGCTATTGCAAAACAACATTGATTTTAATAGCAATAATAAAATGAAATATCATGTCATAACTTAAATAAATTTAAATTTATAATATTTAATGTTAGATTTCAAATTATTATGAAAGAAATTTAATTTATAGCCTTTTTTCATACATTTATTTAATATTTTTTTATTACCATTAAATTTTAATGCAATAATATTATAACTGATAAAACAGATATAATTATATTTAGCTAAAATAATTTTAAATTTGCAGGTTATTGAATTTTTATTTGTTATTTTATGAAACATAAATTACATGAATTCGCTATAATTTTTATAATTATCATTTAATGTTTAAAAACTAGGAATATCTTACTTGATAAAGTGTATTACTTATTGATTTTTTTTGTAGTAAATATAAAATTTAATAATTTGATTGTCAGAGAGGAAATTCGTAAGGAAATTAAAGAAATTAAATCTCAGTTATCAAAAAAGAAAAAGGATAAAATAAAGAACCAGGATACAGATGATGAACCGAGTGAACCAAAACTGCCTATTGATCCTCTTAAGCAACAGTATTTAGAAAATATAAAATTTTATTCTTCTAAAAAACATGAAATTCTTAAAAAAGGTAATATAAAATTATTATTTATAAAAAAGTCTATATTTTTATTTCTTATCTAGGTTCAAGTAGAGAAGATTTTTCTCTGAAGCTTTTAGAACAGTTTAAAAGTAAACTGCATAGTGCTATGCAATCAAAGGATGAAACAAAATCTGAAGAAGATGAAGATGATTGGTATGTTTTAAAAGTTTAAAATCAACACTTTAAAAACTATGTGTTCAAGTACTCTGATGTATTGAATTTTTCTGTAGGAAAAGTCATCCTCTTCAATTTGAAAAGAAAGATGCTGTACTAGCAAAAGATGCTAATAAAAAAGATGATGATTGGTTTGAAATATATGACCCAAGAAGTGCTCTTAACAAAAGGAAACGACAACTAAATAGAACAGATTATAAACAAGATAAAGATAAAAAAACTAAATTTTAAAATAAAAAATAAGCATAGAATAAATTGTATTTTCTATATAATTTAGGTAAATCTTAACATATTTTTATAAATTACAAAATATCATGTTAAAGTATAGTAATATTATATAAGTTTAATATTTATTATAATTGTATCATATGAATTTAAATTTATATACTGTATTCAATAATATTAAACCATATGTTATAAAAAAAAAAATGAAATAATTTAGTACTTTTTCCTATTTTTTCTTTCATTCCTTTTAAGTAAAATTTAAGCTGAAGAAATAGAATAACGTGGATTGAAAAATGTCCTCTTTGTATCCATCAATACTAAAAATTTGTATAACATCTATAATAGAATCAGATTTTAGTTTTTATTACATTTTTTTAAATTTAGATTCATGACTAGTGTCGGAACTTAAATTTATTAAAAATTATACAAAAATACACTAAAAAAGTCAAAAATGCCCTTAAATAAGGCATTTTACTGTGAAAATGTTCTTAAAAAAAGACATATAATTTTTTTTTTTTAATGTTTTATTTTATTAAACTAATAAATACTAATAAATTATAAAATAACTTATAATTTTTATTTAATTAAGAAAAAACTAAAAACTGAAAATGTTGACTGGAGATCATGGTATTAACTGAGGAGTATTTTGAAGTGGTAAATATCTTGTGTTAATTATTTTGATATGTTTCATGGAGAGGTTTATTTTCCTTCTAAAATGTTTGAAATTATATCCATTGCAGTTTAATCACAATTATTTTCTAAGGAATTTTCCAATTATTCTTTATCACTTTTACATATTAACTTGTATTATTGGAAGTACATATTTTTGGCATAAGTTACATTACCAATTGTTTCAACTAAAAGTACCTATATCTTTAGAAGTTATACATCTTGGTATACTTACATGGTTGGCTTTTATAAATATAAGATTTAATTAAATTTCTTTGACTGCCATTAAATGTTTTGCTTTTTTGATAGCTATGGGATTGTTTTTTTCAAATCCATTGATTACTGTTTTAATAAAATAAAATACTGTTAGAATCATACTGCAACTTCTATCCAAGTTCCTAACGTGTCAGTATTAGTTGAGTTTGTATTGGTCATAATTGTTATAAAAATATACATTTATACATTAAAACATAAAATAACTGAAAAATGCTAAATTAAAAATTTGCTTTCGAAGTATTTGTTACATGAAACTAATTTAAGCACTGTATGTAAGATTATTAAAAAAAAGATGCATTTCACATTGAAATCCGGGTCCTAATTACTACCAAATTAAAAATTGTATAAAAGAAAATGGATTGCTAGTGTACCTAGATATTGATCGTCCAAGTAAAGCTAGAATCATTACCTTAACCATTGTAATACTGAATTTTTTTCTAATTTGAATTTTTTTTTAAATTTTTAAAATTTTACTATATTAACTTTATCAAAAGTACTGGCAACACTCTCTATTTCTGCAGCAACTCAGGTGCAACATTTTTGAACATTAAAACGCTTTAAGACATTTTTACGATACTCTATAGAAAAAGAAAAACTGGCCTATCTACTTATACAATACCTAGCTCTATTGAGTATCCAAAGAAAAATTACGATTGAAGAAAGATGTTTTAAATCAGTTTACCATTCAAAATGTAGGATTATATATTCGTTTTAACTGTATTTTAATTTATAAGTAGATTAAACAATGATTTATTTTCTATATTTTATTTTATGTTACTTTACTTATTTTAATCGCGCAAACTATTAAAGTATATATTTTTTAAATTATACTTACAAAAAAATTAATACATTTTCTTTTTGTTAGATTTTTTAAATTTTTAAAATTTTAAACATCTTAGACCCCCCCACCACGAAAAAATCTAGATATGGCCTTGTATGGTATACATTTGAAAACAAATTATAAATTAAAATATTAATATTATAAAATTATAACTCCTATACAGACTTACAGTATACATTTCAAGAGATGATTTAAACAATATCATTGAAGCATTTTTTCTAGCTTCTACAAGAGTATATCTATTAAAACGAAGTATGAAAAGTTTTTCCAAGTACAGTCGATTTATAAAATACACTGAAAATACAGAAATCTTACATGGTTTGATATAATTCTTAAAAAATATTAATTTGCAAAATGTCATTTAAAAATCTAAGTGATGAGAAACTTGAATAAAATTTTGAATATCTCATTCCCTAGTATCCGAAATTGTTAAGAAAAATGCGTTTAATTATTATTTAAGATTATAATAAATTAATTAAAGCATATAATTTGGCTTATAGAGAGGAAGAAACCCCCCTCCACGTTACATCAATTTGTATAGAATATACAAGAAGTATAGGAATAATAAAAATAATAATAATTAAGATAATAATTTAGAATATAACTCCTACAAATTAATTAATTACAATTATTGAGAATATGTAATCTTTAAAACTACCTACGTACCAAATAATTAAAATTAACACTGAAATACGCTTATATACTTTATATTTAAATTATTATTATATTTCACACTTATAACATATAATCAAATAAACTTACAGATATGGTTAATGTCTATACTTATCTCAGTATTTAAACAAATAAAAAAAAATGTAATACAATTGCTGAGTAGGTAACGCATGATGAACACCTACGAGCTGTTTACGACTTAGTTCATTTTTAGAATCATTTACCATGGCTCGTTGGTCGGATAGTAAATTTTCGGTTTATTCAGAAGACTCTTTTATAAGTGAGTACCTAATGAAATTTTTAATTTTATTTAAAGAAAAAGTTATTTTTTTTAAGTTTGAGCATAAATTCTTTTACACATGTTTATTTTTTTTTGTAAGATATTACCCTTAATGAATTCTTAATTTGCTCACTATATTTTATTTAATATCCTTATAATATCTTATCAGATACTTCTCAATTTTAATTTTATTTTAATATGTGTATTCAAATTGGAAAATACTGAACTTTATATAAATTGTGTTAGAATAAAATATAGACATTACACAAGGGTACAGTCTTATTATACAATAGTACAGTTATTGTTATTGTATATTATTAAAGCTATAATGTCCTAAAATATTTTATTTCTTTCTTTGTTTTAAAAAAGCTTAAAAATAGAATAGCGGAAGATTAAATACATTTAAATCTTCAAATTAAATAGATTAGCGTTAACTTAAAAATAATAAAAGATTGGAACATAGGTTCAACTAACGAGGTGTGATTATTGGAGCTTAACCTCTCTAAATATTTTATTAGCTCTTCCAGATTAAAAATAACAAGTTTTAGAATCTTATGTTTCAAATTGAGAACTGAACTTATAATAGTGAATAGTAACAATTGTTGCTTGAATGTTAATTAGTAGATGGATGTGTGGGATTGTAGGTAGCTGCGGGTCAGTGTGATATTGGATATTATACCCCCCCCCCCAAATGTAAGCTCTAGTTACACCTATGAATAAGAACAATTACTTGTATGAAATGTTTCAATAAATTGCCATCCTTCATTAATTTGTCATTATTTATTTAAGGTAGGTAGATAGTAATGATTATTATACTAGGTACGTATAAGAATATAATGTGTTTGTACTTCAGAGATCACTTTTAATTCCCTTTTAATTAGCATCAAAATGTTTTCTTTTTATATACTGACTTTTTGAACAAAAACTAATTTTTCAACTAAGAATTTGAAGTTTCAGATTCTATTTATATATTGAATATTTTATTAAGGAATGAATGGTAGGCTCCTTTAACATATATGCTTGCAATCCTCAATGCGTCCTTTATTTTCTTCCCTATAATTTTCTTTTGATTGGCTTGAATCGGGTCAGATAATCACCTAGAAAATAATATTAGAATTATGACATTTTTTAAAGCTAATTAATGAATAATAATATTTTTAAATCTAGAGAAATTGTAAACAATTTTAGTAAATTTCTTAAGGAGTAAACATTGAACATTTTTCATATTTTTTTAAAACTTAATACAAAATTATAAATTAAACAAAATATATTATTTACTGTATTATTAAACTAAAATCTAGTACCTATTGTATTTAAAATTTTTAAATAATTTATCACAGGTTGTATTATTAGTTTTTTCCAAACTTTTATAGCATCATTAAAAAAATATAGTAAGTAAATAACTTTCTCAAATGTTTAGTAGATAATAAATACTAATCTATAACATTTAATCTCAAATTCATTAAGGGACTCCATGAAAAGCACGTTTTATATTAAATTAATAACATCTAGTTTTCGAATATAGTTATGTTACAAAATGAAGTTAAATTTATTTAAAGTACATAATTTATCTACTAATATAAAAAAATATTCGGCACACTTTTATAAGTAAGTAAATAATAATACTAAAAGTATGATATGGCAAATTAGGTTGATTATTCTACTAATAGTTATCAAATGAGTAACTTTAAATATAAATTAATCAAGTACAATAAATTATTTTATTCTCCTAAAATATATATATTTTAAAAAATTACCATTGTGGATTATTTTTTTCCGGCTTAACGTTTCATTGGAGAACTTTACTTTCAAAACGATCTCCTCCCATTTTTCTCTATCATATGCTATATTTTACCAATCTGTTTCAACTTCTTGGGTTACTTCATTCTATTTATTATTTATGCTGTGTATTCATCTTCTTCAAGGTCTTATATTTCGTTTCCTTCCTGCTAAAATCCAAGTTGTTATTTCTTATATTAGGCGTCCGTCTGCTCTTCATACATGACCGGCACATTGCATTCATATAATTTTAGTAAATTTCCCAATATCTTCCTTTCTGTAAAAGTTTTCCAGCAGTGCATTTGTTCTCAATTCCCATTGTTGTGTTTTGGTATTAAATACTGGGTCATATATTCTTCTTTAGACTTTCCTTTCAAAACTTCTTAGTTTGTCTAAGGTACTTTTAGTTATGAACCATGTGGCACAGGTATAAATCAATACTAGTCTTATGTAGCTTACATATAGTTTTTTTTAATAATTTTCAATATTGGTATTGATTTAAAGAGTTCCTCTATTGTGAAATAACATCGGTTTGCTATATTCATCCTCCTATTTATATCCTTGTCCATAATATATTTGTTGTTTAGAGTCACTCCGAGGTACTTAAATTCTTTCACTTATTCTAATTAATTATTTTATATTTTGTGATTGAAGCTATCCTCTGATCTTCTTGATACTGCTATATATTATGTCTTCTCCAGAACATATTTTAATTAATTTTTACTAGGTGGCACTAAAATAAAATTGTCTACCATCGTATTTCATAGACGTGGTGTTCTTCGGCAGAGGAACATACAGGGAAAATAAATTCCTGTCACTACGATCGTTATGAGAATGTGTTGGTTAGTGGTGCGATCACCCACCACTGGGTAGCATTCAATTATCACTGGGGGGCACTAGTGCCACATACTTTATATGTTAAAATTTGCTCTGGTCTTCTCTGAATTAACTAATTTACTACCATTATGGAATGAAAAATTAAATAATTGTTCCACTCTATTATTTTTTCTTCGAAACATCCATATTTTTAGTAATTATTTAGACATGATTACATGTGAAAAAAAATATTTATTATTTTATCAACTAAAAAAAGTTTTAACAGCCTCATAAAGCATCTAATTGATGGGTTATTTTATAATAGTTTAAATATTCAAAAATATTAATAAAGATTTGAAGTTGTTGAGGTATTTGTAATTTAATAAATTCTATAAATTACCCGTTTTATGAAACAAAAATTGGAATATTTTTAAGAATTTAATCGTTCAATTGTAAATTATACTAAATGGTAAAAAGAATAAAAATTAAATTGTTTGAATCAAAGTTTCTGATTTAAGGGCAAGATTAATAATTAATATTATTGGTAAAATGAAATCAGCCATTAAATAAAATTAAGAAAAAAACTTTGTAAAAAAACTGCCTTAAATTGAAAATAATATCATAGATATACTATTATATAATATTATCATAAATGCACAACAAAGAAGAATAAATTGTTTTCTAAAATGATTAGAACAGTGTTTAAATTTTGTATAAACAACCAGATAATTTACAATTTCTATCAATTTTGGATATATTTTTTTAAAGAAACTATTAAGAAATTAATTTTATTAAATAATAATTATTCGTGTAAAAGTTATATTTCATTAACTAAATAAAGAGGTAAATATTAATATGCTACTACTATCAACATATACAATTACTAGGTATTCAAAATCTATTAGATATAATCTATTATTGTATATTAATTTTTTTTTTATCAAAAATTATCCGTCAACTTTAAATTGTAAAAAATCTTTTTCTCCTTCGACTTTTACCAACTATTAAGGGTCAGCCACCCTTGTCCTAAACCTCCACTCGTCTCAATTTTCTACATCCTCTACGCACACACCAACGACCCTAATATTCAAATTTTAAATAATAAATTGTTTAAATAATTATTCAATTTTCTTAAAGGAAGCTAAAATAATTTTTAATGTATTTTTCAGATTTAATTTAGTTATTTCAAATAAATACAAATTTTGAATTGCTGTTTTTCACCAATTATTTATTTTTTGAAATTATGGAGAAAAATATCTAAATCTATTCTTACTTCTTTTTTTAATTGTTCAGAAGCTTATATCTTACCCAATAGAAATTATTATTTTAATTACATAAAATATGAATTGCCAAAGATATTTAACTATCTTAATTATTATAGGATTATTGTATTATAAATAATCCAATGTACATATATTTAAATATGATTGTAGTTATTTTTTATGAAGCGCGATTAAGGAAACTAACAACGTTCACCGACAGAGTGCGTATATCTATTTTCTTAATTTAAAACGCAATAGGTCGAAAAAATATAATTCATAATAATATGAACGTTGAATACGAATAGCCAGAGTAACTATATAAATGCATCAGTATTCCCACTGTTTTCAAAAGATAAAGATTACAAAGTGCTAATTTATTATATAACAATAATACAAGTGGTTATACAACTTTTATGTTTAAAAAAATTCTTTAATGGTGTGTTTTAAAGTATAGGTACTTTAAGAAATAAGTGCTTTATTAATTACCTAGTTCAAGTGTAATACAATTGACGTGTCAATATATAGTGCAATCTTTGTGTATAAGATTATAAATACATATTAAGCACAAAAGCGATTTTCATAATGATTTTGTGTAAAAAACGAAAAGGTAAAACAAATTATTTTATTTTATGATAATATACAAATTAATAAAATATTACTACATTACACTAATTTAAAACACTAAATCAAAAATGTGAGAATCCTATTTTTTGAACAGGTCTAATTCAAATATATATACAAAAATATATAATGCTAATAATTTATTTAAACAATTATAAACATTTTGATTTAAATTAATCAATTAAAATACACATAAATTGTATATATTAATGCATTCAATTCATGAAATACATTTAATAATATGAATCTAAATTTAAATACAATGTTAAATTAGTTTATTCAAAATCTGTAAGTTAATTTATTATACATTTATTATTATTTTTAATAATATAATAAATGTGCAAGTTAATAATTATTAAAAAAAAAAAAAAGAAAAATAGTCTATATTTACGTACGCTCTGATAAGTGGAATGGTAGTGCACCAACATTTTGTATGGCAACCTCTGCCAATGTACACTGCTTAAAAAAACATCTTCATAATTAACCGGTTTATTAATCAATTATTATGTATTAAATTTTATAGATAATAATACGTTTTTTTTTAGTTTCGTTGTTTGCATTAGTTAAATTGTATAATATGTTTTTTATTTTATTTCTATTTGGTCTAATGCCAAATAATGTTTATATGGGTTCAAGAAAGACAAAATGTACATATTTTAATAATTTTCTAGGTTATGAATGTTTTATATCAAATATATATAAATGTTTATATTTAAACATTCAGGCATAATATGATCGACTTATTTAAAACAGTCTATTACAGAGAGTTCATTGACCATGAAATTGGAACAACAAGCACGTGAAAAAATATATTCAATTTAAATGATTATTGTATATTGAATATAGTTATTCATAAATTGCTCTTAAGTAATAAAATAATTGTTTTGGAAATATAGGCTGAATAATAAATTTTTAGTAACATTAAAATTGAAAAGCGCTTTATAAAATACACGACCTTTTATGCTAATTATAAGAATTACGAATTAAAACAGATTATTCGATGGTAATCGGTATGAAAATTTACTAATATTTTTTAATTATTATTAAATATGCCGAAATAAATTAATCTTTGCGATTTAGTGATTTTATTAAAATTATCGTCATACATTCAACTTATTCCAGTACCTACCATAAATTTTTAATAACTAATGTATTGTAGCAGGCAAACATATAAAAATATCAGCTATTAGAAAATTTGCAATAATTTTATGAAGTATTTATTTTATAATATATAAATTTAGTTAATTTATACATTAGCCATATCAGTAGGTATATTATTTTATATTAGTAAAAAGTATAGCTTTTTAACACAATTGGCTATTATATTTTGGTATCAATTTGTATTCTGATTTGTGGTTTTATTTTTGATGTCAGAAAAATAAATTGAAGTGATTGCAATACGAGGAATACAATTATTGCAATACAATAATTAAGATCAATAAATAATATTTGATAAACAAACGGTAGTAGTAAACAAAACATGAAACATATATTGCATATCAATTTTCCACACATATTAATATGATTTGTCTTAATATTCGACATTGAAAAATTAATACCATTCCTTTATCAGAATAGAGTAATATAATTTCCTAATTGAAATATTATAATGAAAATATTATTATAGCTTGGCAAATTCTAGTTTTAATGAGCAATGTATTTATGTTTGTAATATACCTACATTTGTAGGTTAACAGAACAGTTTTTTTTTGTAAATAAATAACTCATTTTATTCTTCAACAATGCATAATCTTGCATTATTTACTAGTACAAAATTTTTTAATAATATTTGTATGGATTAACATTTACCTAAGATGTACTTAAATATTCATAACAATGAAAATAAAAGTCGAAGCATAACTTTAAACTAATACTGTCTAATAATTCATTCATGTTTATATTACGGTTTTGAAAAATTTAAAAATATTAATAATATAAATTTAATATTTCTAAGATTCTTATATTTTTATTTTTACTCAACGTAAATTTGTATTTTTCGTTAACAAATAATAGGATATATAAAAATCATATTTAAAATATTTATTATGATGTTTCTATGAACCATAAAGCATCTAAATAATAAATTATTACTGGAAATATATATTTATTTTTGGTCAACAATTTAAAATTTATATTGCTTTATTTTTCCAAAATATTACAATTTAATAGTTAAATATATCCATGAAAACAAGAATCATATTTTAAATTAAAATATAGAAATACTCAATAATATATGAATAAAACAATAAAAAAAATTTATTTAATATTCTTTTTCTTTTTAGCCTTTCTCCCAACTATTTGTTGGAGTTGGCCACCCTTTACCTAAGCCTCCACTCGTCTCAATTTTTTACATCCCCTATGCACACACCAACGGTTCTCATATTATTCTCAATCATACCCAACCATCTCTTTTTTGGTCTTCCTCTTTTCTCTATAACGTTAATTTTCATAACAACTCTTACTGCATTTGTTTCCTACTAAATAATATTAAAAGTATCTAATATTTAAAACATTAATACATATATTGGGATACATAAATAAATAATGTATAATTGAACCAAAGTAAAAATAGTTTAGATAATTATTTTACTGAAAAACATATTCACATGAATGTCAAATAATAGGCATAAAAAAATAAACAATTAGTTTATATGGTAATATAAATAAACAAATAAATAAGTACCAGTTTTGAATTAAAATTTCATTATCTGGTACATAAAATGTCAAACAAATCGTGACTGAATATGAAAAAATAAAGAATAAAAAATAAATAAATTTATAAATTAAAATTAAAATTTTGTATTTATAAAAAAAAAAATAAATACTTTATTTTTTCATATTCAGTCACGATTTGATTGGCCTTGTACATACCTGACGATAAAGTTTTAATTCGAATCCGGTCGTACTTTACATTTATAATAATATTTCAGACTAAGCATTTATTTATTTATTTATATTTGCTATAAGCTATTTGTTTATATATTTATATATTAATTTACAAGTATTAACCATTTAATAATTTTTAATTTTAATTAATTTTTTTATTATTTTATTATTCATTGTTAATTATTTAAAATTATTTAACATAATAATGTTCATAAAAACATATTTATATTGTACGTTGCTTACATTTATTTTGTTTTTAAACAAAATAGAAGTTTTTAATCTGTAATGTAAAAATTTTTATTACAATTTTTTGTTTCGTGTAACAAATATTTAAAATATTTTAGAAATGACTATTGTTAAAAAAATAAAATTAATCTTATAATTTTCAAATCAAATAATAAGTTCAAATGCTTACCAAAAATCTGGTTATAAAATTGCATTATTTTTATTATAAATTTATATATCAAAGTCCATAGGGAAATATGCACTATAATATTAGAAATAATATATTTAAGAAATTTTATTTTTATATTATTTAAAATAATATATGTATCCATATACGCAATAGATGTAATCAAATTAGATATATTATAATTTTATGATACTATATTTTTCTAACTCTTATAGGAAATGAATACACTAGATAAAATTAAAAAAGACTTTTATTAGATTGAACTTAATAATTAAAAATAATAATGCACCTACCTATATTATTGTTTGTTTCTTGTTCGTCTGCAACTATATGGATCGGTTGCCACTTGGAATAATCATAGTTAGAAAAAATATTTTTAACTATTTTGTCCTATCAGAACCAATTAACATTTTATTTGTTCGATTTGACCTTTTGTACAACAACATAATGTCAAGAGATCATACTCATATCAATAAAATTTAAGAATAAAAGCAAACAACAACAGTACAATAATAATCATAATTGGTATTAAACTTAAATAATCAGAAAAAAAAAAGAGTTTCATGAGAGACTGTGAATCATAGCACAATTGAGGCAATCGCGGTGATTGATGAATAATTAATTAGGTTATTTCTTTAACATCATGGTTGTAAAGTATAGTGTGAATTCCAATAATTTTCCGTGTGACTTGCTCGTTTACCTACCACATGATTGACAAGTATTTTCTTTTCTGTATCGTATGGAGGTACAGCGATTTCTTTGAAATTGCCCGAAAGCAATGTCGAATATTCGCTATCAAATCTTTCAGACGATAATGAATCGTTCGAGTTATAACAGTATCTTTGAGTCTGATTGTCATTTGTATTGGATTTGGATCGAAATCGAACATTATCTGTTCGTTTATAGAGAAATAAATAAAGCCCGGTGAATATGATTAGTAGTAGTATGAAACCGACTAAAGATATCAAACCCAAAAATTGAACTGCTTGTTGGTCGTCATTTATTTCTAGATGTTCAGCCAATCTCTGTGAGATGTTGGTCAGTGTATTTCTTTTCTTGTATTTAGATGATATTTTTGTATCATATTCATGAACACTATTCATTTTATTTAATACTTCATTGAATTTACTTTAAATAATTCAACTTGAAACGAGAATAAAAAACAATAAATATCCATAGCAATTTGATATTATAAATGTACCAACTTCTTTAGCAAATTAAGCAAAAAAAAAAAACTAAATTAATCTTCTCTCTCTCTCTCTCTCTCTCTCTCTCTCTCTCTCTCTCTTCCTGGCATTTCTACTCTCTAAGAGTTTTTGCCGCTATTACTACACTTCGCCTCCTATCTCTATCTCGGGCTGTCTCTCTTTAATCTTCAACTCCAAGGGTTTTTAAATCTTCTTCTACCACGTCAATCCATCTTTTCCTAGGTCTACCTCTAGGTCAAATTAATCTTAGAATATTAAAAATGTTAAAAAATAATTTACAAAATGTTATTAATATTTTAATTTTTTTCCTGATATATAAATCAATAGGTTTATCGATTTATCATTATAATTATAAGGGGATATTGTAGAAATTATAATATTTATAACAACTTAAATTATATGCTTAGTAACTTATAGATATTTTAAAATAATTATCAATAATAGTTATAAATAAAGTATAGAAAGTCGGTAAATATTTCTATAAATTTAAATAAATATAGTATAAAATATTTAAATAAATTTGAACCATAAAATATGTAATAATTTATATTTTTACTTTATGTATGTCTTGAATAAAATATACGTAACATGTTTAAATAATAACTATTGTTAAACATATTTGGAGTACAAAGATTATACGTAATATTTTACGTTTATTAGGAATTCATACGCATTACGGATTAAACAAACATATATTATTAATAAAGTTATTTTAAGACTCAAGGCATTTAAGACTCTTTTGTTGTCGTATGCAAAAAAAATTCTGTTGGAATTTGGAACAAGTTTATAGTTTTACTAGTAATTTACATTGTGATAAGAAATATATTTTAATTAGTTTTACAAACTCTACGAACTGATGGTAGAAAATTGTTAGTATAATTCTATATAATGAAGAATAAAAATTATCCAATCATTAAAAAACATATAAATACTTTAAATAAGTTGCAAATAATGCATCAGATAATATGAAACCAAAATGCGAATAATAAAATAAAAAATAGCAATACATTTTTATATTGCTTTATTATTTCCCTTTTTATATATATTTATTATAATAATTAACAGTATGTTTATGTATATTATTATTTTCATAATTGATACTACAATAGTTTCCAGTAAAGTAAATATGATTCATATAACTAATAAATTTAACTTTAAACTTTTATTCTTTATGGGTTCGTTGACCTCTTTAGATGATTTAATTAAGTCAAGCATTTAAATTAACCGTCAGTATTACCATATATTGGTAGGTATATATTCATCTATTAAATATATTACTTTTTAACATTATCAATAAAAACATTCTGTTATATAAATAATTATCAAAATGAATTACCAAGTATATTCTATAGATTTTGTAGCTTAATTTCAATATATTATAAGTCAAAAAGAAGAAATCAGAATGATAAGATTGAAAGTAATTTTTCAAATTAGTTTAATAAGTCGATCTGTCAAATAAGTAGAAAAATAATTGAAGATTTTCGAATATAATTTAGTTTTTGTGTCTTACAATACCTACGAGTATATTATATTCTATTGTGTGTTGTAATTTTTTTTTCATTATTGCATTAGAAAAATCATTATTTTATCAATCATAATGAATTAATAATTAAAAATACGTATTGGGGCTAATTAGATCAGTATCATACAAAATTAATTACTTTAATTAAATTGAGTAAATATTATTATTTTTATAGCTTTATGAATATAAGGATTAACAACAATTGTGTATAGTTTATAAATTCATTGGTGTGTCCTTCCAAAGGTTAAAATAAATTATGTTGCATATAACCTTGAAGACAATTATTTATTTATTGTTATTTTGTGTTACCTATATATTCAACTTCATTTGATAGCTCATACTCATGGATGTTAAAATATGGTATTATATAATGTTGATAGCATACTTCAATAAAAAAAATAAAAAATACTTAAATATTGGTAATTATAAAAAATATACTACCAGTTTAAAATAATATGTAATCACTGATGTCATAGCTATAAATTATTATAAAATAAAGCAAGACATGATATAATAGCTCAAATGTAATTGCAAACATACAATTGGCTAGTTATATAGTAATTTTAAATGCTTTGTATAGCTTTTTATTTTTTTTTTTTTTTACTATAAAATTGGTAGTAGAATATAATAGAGTTTACACTGTTTTTAATAATAATAAATTAAAAATATTTTATTACATTAATTATATTAATTCCGTACTATATAACAAAAAAAAAAGAAAAAAATTACATGCTAATTAGTTGCATAAGATAAATTATTTCTAGATAATAATGTCTATACTTTTATTGCGTTCTATTATGATACAATTCATACAAAAATAACATAAAACCAAAAACGGTGTACTTATAGGTGTTTTATTCAAGGCTATTGAAAATTACAGGAATTAACATTTATTAGTTTATTTTCTAAGCACAATTTAATATGTCTGGGGTAATTATTTACTCTGTGTACCTTAAAACTGGTTAAGAATAGTTTTATTTTTCATTTAAGGTTTTAGAATTTATTTGTACCCATGAAATATTATTAGTAGTCATAGCATAAGCATAATTACACTTAAACTATGAATATTCTAATATATATTATTTCTATTCAAAATTTTATTTATTTTCATTGCTAAAATTAGCAACCATAAAATGTATTGTTCTCTTCAAATAATGTTTAAACATTAGACTCGTGTGTCGGTATCTAATCACACAAAAAATGAATTGAAGCCCTGGTTCTTATCATAATTTCATTAATCCAACTCTAAACTTGTTTTCGTGGGTTAATAAATTTATTGTTAAGAATAAAATATAATAGAATATTCTTTTTTTATCAGATATCAGATTTAAATTTAAAATACACTCAAAACTATACTACAGTACAGTCTTTCGTACCGATCGGACGTGTTTGTGGTTTGTTAGTATCTACCGTGTAATAAAATATTATCTAATGATAAGTCATAAGTAATACATCTTTAGAAATGTCGAGACAAGTCGATACGCCAATTTTAAAGATAACAAATTTTTCTAACACGCATTGATCATTCAATAAATTATGTAATGAACTTGCTGAGTTCCATTGATGAAAAGCATAATAGAGGTATGCAGGAAATAAACAATAAATTAAAAGTCTACGAAAATAACTTTACCAATTTAAGGAATAAATTGGATGAACTAGTGACCTCATTTAATAATTTGCAAAAAGAAAATAATTTATTAAAATCTGAATTAAATTATTTGCGAGATAGAGTGAAATTGATTAACTTTGTTGACCAAAATAACATCGATCTTGTAAACGAAGTTAATGAAAGATTATCTAGATCACGCAATATTATAATTTTTAATTCAGAAGATGATATTATTAGTGATGAAGCAATTGTTAACGATTTAATATATAACATGAAAGTAAATGTACCTATTGCTAAAATCCAAAGAATAGGTAACTTATCATCTAAAAATCTGCCTTTACGAATTACATTCAATGATACATCAGATGTGACTACCATTTTAAAATCAAAATCAAAATTACGAAATACAGATAAATATAAAAATTTATGGATAAACTCGGACCTGACAAATTATCAACGTGAACAAATGAAATATTTTTGTCATGAACTTCAACAAAAGAAAAATAGCGGTGAAAGAAATTGGATTATAAAATATGTTCATGTTGTACCAACACTTTTCAGAAAAACTGATTCAGATCGTGCAAAGTAATTTAAATAAACATAATATTAGTAATAGTTCTAAGTTTAATTCCAAAAATAATTTTAATTCATATAAATCTAAAACTTATTCCCAGAATGTTAGAGGTTTGCGCACTAAATTATATGTATTTAGATCAGAGGTTCCCAAACTTCTTATAATACGACCCATTTTGAAAATTATTTAAATTTTGACGACCCAAAATAACATCATTGACCTTGACCACATCATTGATCATTTTTTTTTGCTGTTTTCATCATTTTAAATTGAAGAAAAGTATTATATTTATAAAAAAACTTTATAGTATGTAATTTAATTAATAAGTATATAATTTTAATGTGAAGGATGTAATTGTTTTCTATTTTTCATAACTGCATTCATATCCACTTTTTTATTTTGATTACAAAGAACTTGTTGTAAGCTCATCATCAATTAATTTTCTTTTTTTAACCACTGAGTCAGATATTATCTCTGTTTCTTAGAACTTTAAGTCATTAACTTTTTATTTAAACATTTGTCCGAAGTAACTGTACAATAGCACAACAAAAAACGAATTTTTTGGTTATTTGAAAAATAGTAAGATTTAAACTACGTGCATGTATCGTATTCAATGTACCGTTTGTTACTGAAGATAATCAATTAATTTGAACGTCATACAAATACTAATTTGTTGCTAGGTATATTTTCAATAATCATTAATCTAATTGCGTTGTGTTGACACAGTCGAGCATAGACATATAAAGGAATATTATTATGTCTATTGGTTGCAGTAAATTTGTAATTGTCATAAACGCAGATAACAGTTAATAATAAAATTAACTAAATAATTAAACATCAACCATAAGTAATAAAAACACATGAAAAATATAACGGACCCATTAAAAATTTAATCACGACCCACGTTTTGGGAACCTCTGATTTAGATATAATATACCTTTATTTAATGTCGATCATTTTGTATTAACAGAAACCTGGTTATCTACTGACATAACAAATAATGAGCTCGGGTTTGATAAATTTAATGTTTATCGGATAGACCGGATAAAGAAGACAAGTACTTGCAAGAGGGGAGGTGGTGTGTTGAAAGGTATATATAAACGTTTCGATGCACACATAATTAAAGTTCCTAATGATAGTATTGAACTAGTATTCGTGATGATTGTAGGTAGAAATAATTATAAATTTATCTTAGGTGCTTGTTATATATCACCGTCTAGTAAAGGTAATAAATATTTAGCTCTAACTGAAACGGTAGAATATATATTTAATATATATTCGCCAAATAAGAATTTTATTCTTATAGTAATTTTAATTTATCCGGTATGCGGTTTATAAATAACAATATTGGCCTTAGTTACATCAACATCATCATCATCACTGGCTTTTATAACTCTATTAGAGTTTTTGCCGCAAACACTATGTCCCTCCATTTCTCTCGATCTTGTATAATTTCCTTCCATTCTTTTACTCCCACAGTTATAAGGTCCTCTTCTATTATGTCAAGCCATCTCTTCCTTAGTCTGCCTCGAGGTCTTTTCCCTTCTGGTTGCCATTCTATCACTGCCCTAATGGTTTCTTCTTCGCTTCTTCTCATTATGTGCCCAAACCACTGTAATCTTTGTCCCTTTATGTACTTAGTGACTGGTGCTAGGTCCAGTTCTTCCTGTAATTCCTTCTCCATTCATTTGTTCTTGCGTCGCGAACTGGTCCACATATCTTTCTCCATATTTTGTTTTCGAAGGTTCTAAGTCTTCTTTTCGTCACGCTTGTTGTTGTCCATACTTCACACCCATAAGTGAGAGTAGGCCTTATTATTGCCGTGTATAACCTTAATTTTTTCTTCTTAGACAGCGCTTTAGACTTAAAGAATTTTGAAAATGCAAAAGAGGCTTTTTCTGCCTTTGCTTTCCTCACACTTATCTCCCGTGACCAATCATTTTTTATACTAAGAAGCGCTCCTAAATATTGGAATTCTTCCACTTTTTCGAAAGCTATTGATTCAAATACGTTTTGTGGTGGGTCGATGTCGAGAATCTCTAGAATTTTTGTTTTTCCACATTAATTTGTAACCCTACTTTTGATGCAGCGTTTTCGAGAGCCATTGTTAGATTTAAAGCATCCTCTAGTGATTCACCAAGGATATTCAGATCATCCGCAAAACCTAAAATCTGCACTCGATGTTCATTAACCGCTACCCCACTTTCTGCATTTTGCATCATTCTTACCGCTTTTTCAAGTGCTAAGTTAAGCTTCTAGGTGTCTGCATTTAGTTCTCTGTCTTCACGACCCGGTTTCCTGGAGTAGTCGGTCTGGGGCCTCGTTCTACGGAGTTTGGGATCAAGAGGCCACTCATTGACCATATTGGATCCTCTTCGCCTCCTCCTTCCCGCGCTTCATGATCCTTGTGAGCAGCTCCTCTATTCTTCTCCAAGACTCCTTGCTTTTCAGCATCAGGTTGATTAGATTCTCCGGCGTTAGCTGGTCTACTCCTAGGTATCCGCAGGCTTCTCTCCGCCAGTGGTACCAAGCGTCACATGCGAACACCGCATGTTCGACGCTGTCCAAAGTTACTCCGCATTGTGTGCACTCTTCCGATTTGCGTTTGTGGTACTTCAGTTGGTACTCGTTAAAACACCCAGGCTAGTTAACACCTGGCACAGATGGAAGGATACCTCCCAATGCCTCCTCCTGAACCATGGTGTGATGTCCCTTATGAGACGATGTGTCCAACTTCCTTTTGTTGAGGTTGTCCATTGCCGTTGCCAGCTTCTCTCCAGTGCTTTCCTCGCTGTTACTTTGTCTGTGCTCGTGCATATCATGCTACTTTCTTTAGCCAGCGAGGCAAGGGGGGCATGCCAGATACTACTGCCGCTGCGTTTGTCGAAGTTGTGCGATAGCAGCACGCTACTCTCAGTATGACCCTCCTGTACGCTGATTCCATCTCGCCGAGCGTTTTGGCTGTTATGGTCCTGTGCCATATGGATGCTCCATATAGGAGCCTCGACGTTACTACTACTGCGAGAACGCGCCTCGTTTTCTGTTAAGCACCCCTGAGGTTAAGCAGGATCTACCCTAGTTGGTGGGTGGCTTCTGCGGCGCGTTTTGCCACTGTCGCTACAAAGTTGTTGCGTAAAGTGCGTTCTTTAGTCGAAAAACACCCTGAGGCACTTAACACACTTGCTTGAGACGAAAATATGTGTGTGTGTGTGTGTGTGGGGGGGGGGGGGGGGTGGTAGTCCACAGTCATCGTGTTTATATTGTTCCTGTTAGTGAAGACTATCGCTTCTGTCTTATGTAGTGTCAATTCCAAGTCGTTCGGTTCATTCACGCTGCTACATCCTTTAGCGCAGTGCCTAGTCTCTCCTCTAGTAGAAACGGCACCTGCACTGTAGTTAGTATTGCTATGTTGTCCGCGAATCCTATCAGCTCTGTACCCTTAGTATACTCTATATCTTAAGTAGGTCATCATACAGTAGGTTCCAGAGGTCTGGTCCGAGGACCGACCCCTGAGGAACGCCGCAGCTCATGTCCGCTCCGTGTGTAGACCCATCCTTCTTAGTGTACGTGATTCGCCTGTTCGATAGGTACTGACTTAGAATATTGCGAAGTTAATGAACGCATTTTTTACGTCTAGCGTCAGCATACTCTCCCCTTAGATGATAGCATAGTACTAATAGATAGATATCACCCACCATTTATAATTAAAAGTAATATTAAAAAAAATATATCACATGATGAAACCAAGTCATGGTTCATCATGAAAAACATCGACTTTACAAAAATGAACAATATGTTAGCAAATATTAATTGGTCGGATTTATATTCAATAATAAATATAAATTTGGCAGTTGAAAAATTTTATAATGATTTACTTAATGTAATAAATAGTTTAATTCAAAAAGTTTACACCAACCAAAATAAATTTCCAACATGGTTTTCAAAAGAGCTACGTTTGTAAATTATTAAAAAAAAAAAAAAAATACATAAATCATCTAAGGTTACAGGAGATAACAAGTTTTATGCCGAATTTTCACTTATTAGAAGCCGCTGTAAGAGACTCTCTAAAGTATGTTATTCTGATTATTTAAAACGTATTCAAGCTTCATGTAATAACCCAAAATATTTTTGGAAGTATATCAATGATAAGAAAAAATCTATGATCTTCCTAACATGATACATTTTAATGATAACAATACAAACAACCCCGATACTACTGTAGATATCTTTAAGGACTACTTTGGCTCAGTATACACTCCTAGAAAAGCATCTTCTTCATATACTTTACATAATTCAATTCCTAATAATGATATTATTGATTTATCCTCTTGTTCATTTCTGTCTTGGAAATTTTCAACACCCTAAATAACTTATCATTTAAAACAAAAATCGGTCCAGATAAAATTCCCGAAATAATATGCCTTACATGTTTTTATACCTTAACCCGTCCAATTCATTATTTATTCAACTTATCATTATCTACAGGTGTTTTTTCAAATCCTTGGAAAACTAGTTTTATTTATCCGATTTTCAAGTCTGACAAATGATCCTTCATAAGTAACTACCGTCCTATTTCTAGTTTGAGTGTATTGCCAAAATTATTAGAAAAACTTATAGAACCAAAAATATCTTATATATTTAAAACTATATTATCAGATAATCAACATGGCTTCCGTAAGACAAAATCCACTCTAACTAACTTGATGACTTCTTATTCTGATTTACTGCATTTAGTTATTAAAGGTGTTCAAGTTGATGCAATCTATACGGATATAAAAAAGGCGTTTGATACAGTTAATATTGATATATTAATAAATAAACTTAATTTTATTGGTGTTAGAGATCCAATCCTTTCATGGTTTAAATCTTACTTATCTGACCGAATACAACAAGTAAAAATTGGTAATTCGATTTCATAAAAAATAAATGTATCCTCTGGAGAGCTACAAGATAATCATCTCTCACCTTTATTATTTATAATTTTTATCAATGATATAAATAATTTATTTCGACATTGTAAATTCACTCTATTTGCAGATGATCTAAAGATTTTCATGTCAGTCTCCTCATTAGAGGATTTTAATAAATTAAAATTTGATTTGAATCAATTCTGTTTATGGTGAGCAAACAATCGCTTAAATTTAAATACGGATAAATGCAGTCAAATTACATTCTCTAAAAATAAGCAACATATTATGTTAAATTATTACTTAAATAACAAAAATCTTAATATTGTATTTAATATTAAAGATTTTGGTATCATTTTTCTAATGACCTTACATTTATCAAATATATCAATGAAATTCATACTAATACCTTACGTGTACTCGGATTTTTAAAACGGAATTGCTGGGGAATTTCATGACCCAATTTGCCTACGTGTTTTATATTTCTCTCTAGTACGCTTGACTTTGGAATACGGTTCAATAATATGGAGCCTTCATCAAGAGTATCTTATAAATAAGTTAGAACGAAACCAAAATCGATTTTTACATATGCTGGCTTATAAAACTAACAACGTTAAACTAATCTTGCATTCATTAGCTTTAAAATTTGATATTGATAGTTTGGAATTTAGAAGACAGTTTAATGACGTACGCTGGCTTTATTGTATACTAAACTCCAAAATGGACTGTCCAGATATACTTATTTTAATTAATATAAATGTTCCAAACGTAACGTAAAAATCCACGTCTACATTCTACATTCCTACTTGCAAACAAAATTATTATCTATTTGTACCGGTAAACCGAATGTTAACTTTAGGTAATAAACTTCCTAATTTTGATTTTTTTTTCAACTCTCTCCCTGAGATAAAATATTGTATGAAGAACATTTTGTAACTTATAATTTATACTTTATTATCTTAAATATTAATAGTTGTTTTCTGTATTTATCTTAATTAAGTTTATTATGTTATTATATTGAAAATATCTTATTATGTATATTTCTGTACTCTATGCCCATCGACCGTTTATTAAATAAATAAATAAAGAAATGATTTATGATTTTATTTTTATCTATTTTTTAATTAACAATACTTAATTTAGATATATAAAATATCATGATAAATGCATATTTTTTTTTAGGTGGTGTTTATTATAAAAAGGACAATTCTAGTAGTCTAAAAGGGCCTATAAGGGCAGCAAGACTTTGTATTTTAAGTTTGCTTTTGCCTGGTATTTTAGTCATAGCTCCTTTGTATATTCGATATCATGTATACTCTGACCATAAGTACCCTTTAGCTGTTACTGATATGAGAATATTAGATCAAAAAATGTCAACTTTTTGGTGTCAAGTAAGTGTTGAGTTTTATTTATGTTATAAATCTTAACTTTAAACTATAATATATATTTATTTTTATTTTAGCGACATATTATTAATACAAATGCTACTTTTAATGCATTTCTAATGCCAGAAAAGCCATCAATGTTACCAAAAATGGAATATGTTGAAATGGAAAGGCATATTACACTAGAAGATGATACTAAAGAATATTGGGGATTTTATTTATTAAAAGATTCTATTGTAAAAGTATCTACATGTTCAAGGTAAAATTTTTTAAAATACAGAATTAAAGTGAATTTTGTACTAAAATTTAATGGATTTAATGTTCCGTAATATAAATAAATAAATATGTTTCATATATCTAATTTTTTTAACTGTTATTACTTCATAAAATAATTGTTTAAGTAATGACTATGATGTAAAAAAAAAAAAAACTTTCATTTAAGTGAATAAAAGAGTTTGTGTTAAAATGTTTTATTATTGTATTTTATCAGGTGGCCAGGTGCTAGTATTATAGTTATTAAGGGACACAAGCATTTAAAAGAATGCGCTTATTTAGGAGATAATTCTAGTGAAGAGCTTGATGAAATTGAATCATCCGAAGAAGGGAATGATACACATATCATTAATTTTATGAGAAAACTCACTTCTGGTATGACTGTACCTGATATGGCACCCGACGTAGTTTATCTTACTCATCATCCACATGATATTATTTTAAACCGAACAAACTTGAAACGATCCAGTAAAACTGCTAATCATCATTTAGATTATGCTGAGGATTTATATCAAAAAGAAATGAAAGAAAAAATTGAAAGTGAAGATTATGTAGTTCAAACCAAAAAAACTAAGCCAATTATCTCAAACGGAGAAGTAATAAGTAATATACTTCAATCTAAAGAATTGATCGAAGAATCATTACGGAAATTAGGAAATCAAGGGGAAGATGGTGCTGCACTTTTGCGTAAATTAAAAGAAGTTCTTAAAAATGATCTAAACGATCCAGTGAATGACACAGTTGAATCCACGAACAGACTTTATCAGATAATTGAAAATGCAATGGCTGATGATGATACGTCATGGCGTGGTCCTAGGTTGAGACATTATCGTAGTAGATTTAAGCGATCGGTTAGTAATAAAGAAGACCAAGAGAACTTGAGCAAAGAATTATTCAAACATGATCAACATAATGATGCAGCAAATGAAGAGGTACAGTAATTAATTAAGTACTTAATTTGACTACTATATATAATAGTATAATATAATATAATATAATATAATATAATATAATATAATTTAATATAATATAATTTAATATAATAATATAATATATATTATCAATCTAAGACAATAACATAACATTACATCAGTATTTAAATTATTAATTACTAAATGATAAATTATATGACTGAAGAGTTAGTACCAACTAGTCACTATTATCTTTAAATGTTTAAATAAAAATTATAATACACTAGAAATGGGAAAATACTTATGCTTTTATAATTTTTATTCCGGCAAACAAGTTTAACAAAACAATGATACAATTGGTTTAGTGCATAACATTTGGATATCTGAAAATATAAATTTCTCCATACCTGAAATATGCTTTTAGATAGTATAATTTATATAATAGCCTCAAAATAAAATAAGTTATATTGTGTACTGTGGTATGTTCAAAAACGTAAGCTAAATATTAAATTTAATAAATTAAGAGTAAATACTTAAAAACGCATTTACTGTAATAAATGTAAAAATTGATATTTATGCGTTATACTTTATATCTATAAATATTAATAAACATTGATACTGTTTTTAGACTGATACGCGTTCAGCAGATGGAATTGCACAAGTTCGTGGCAAAGTAACCACAAATAAAACGCAAATAATAAAAGATGGTAGTCATAGCGAATTTTGGTCATCATTTTCTAGTAGTGAAGAAATGCTCCTTGAATGTGAAGGTCTTTTATTGAGCTTACCATTAGCACCACATCACAAATGTTTACCATTAAATAAACAACCTGATTACAATGTAGCCAGCCATCAGAATACCGTTACATACAAGTAAGTTATTATTTTATACAAAAGTATACTGTATAATAGTTTAAAAATATACTTAGTAATTAGTAGTACTTACTAAGTAGATAATTATACAACTAATTACTTGTTTATTATAAGATAAAATTAAATAATTTATACTTTTGACATAATTTAAAAGAAAAAAAAGTTACACAAACTGAAAAAGTATAATATAAATTGATATTATTAATACATTGATACTTACTAAATTTCAACCATATAAACATATTGAAATATTTGAAGAAATATATTTTACATCTTACCTAAAATTAAAATATTTTTTTAAGATAAAAGATAAACATATATATCATAAATTACTTAATAAATACATTTAAAATGAGATAAGTATGAAGTAGAAGAATATCCTATACTGTACATGTATACATCGATGTACTTAGTATCCTGTGTCATTAACTTAAATGAATTTAGGTATCAAATATTTTAATTTTATTTATTTATATGTTTTATTATAATTCTAGGGTCCCCAGTGAAGGTTATTATTTTTTTGTGTTCAACAGCGAGAATGAAATTCAAGATAATTTCATGCGTATTCATTTTGCAATTAACAAAACAGTATATGATGTTTCAAAACCAATTTCATCTTGCATCAATACCACTGGTGAATGCAAATTATCTTTAAACTTTTGGTCACATCAAACTACAGTGTTAGAAATGATAAAAGCAGGCCCAAGTAGTGATTCTGAAGATGAATTTATAGCTATCTCTACATGCCAGCCCAGATCTGCAGTTTATGCCATTTTTTTGATAGCAGCACCAGTTTTGTTTGTATTATTTTCTTTTCATTGATCTTTAATTATATCTGATATTATATCTAAAGTAACTAGACTAATGTGATATTTGCACAGCATCAATTATCGCTTACATAATTTTAAAGCTTACACTTTAAATATTCAAGTCATACATTATAAGATTAAAAATACCATATGTTTCAAGTTAGAATAATGTTAATAAAATATGCTTAATACCAAACAAAAACACTTTATTTAAAATTTTAATGATTTGATATACTGGATAATAATTTGTAAATATATAAAATAGCAGTATTTAAATGACAACAAAGTTATCTTATACAGATAAATCCAGCCTGAAATAATAAAAATCTAAAATGTATAGCTTAATTAAATAAAATGTATTACTGAACGAATAAAACTACTAAGAGATAATCAGTAGTATAACTTTAAATGTTAAAATACTAAAATAGGTATAAGTATCAAAAATACAATTTGTATAATACGAAGAAAAATGTTCATAGAAGTCATAAACACAAAATATTAAAACGTAATGATTGGTTAAATGAGTAAGGTAAATTTATAATGTTCATAATTACATTGCAAGTAAAAAATTTATTAAATAAATGTTTAGATGTTTATAGTTTATCAATTGAATCGCTTATTACAAAAATGTCTTAAGTCCAGAACTTTAAACTTTTGAAAGACTAATAGAAACCCCCAAGTGTTCTATCTTGTGGAGTTTCTGCTCTAAACGAAAATTTCAATGACACAAATTGTTCACGTAAATAAGACACACATAGAGGATTTTTGCATAAATTGATGCAGCTTAGATAAGGCAGCTACTAATAAAATAACAGGAAAATAAAAAATAAATAAGTTTCAAATTTTCGGTTTCTTATGGGATATCTATAATAAGCCATTCAATTTATCTCTAACCCCCAGTGGATAAAATAAAATTTAGTCTCTTCAAATACATTCCGCAGACCGTTGTTATTGTATTAATATTTTATGAACCGCTTAATTCAGGGGTCTTCAACCTTTTTATGCAGTGGGCCACGTATTATTTTTTTTAAACCTTGCGGGCCGCATTCATAATAAAAACATGTATTTTGTATAAAAATTCAGTTTTATTCTTACAATTTTTAAAATTAGGTGGGTATATTTAAAATTACAAATTATTATTATTATTAAAACATGAATAAATAGACCTTTTTTTTTTAATTACAAATTTTTTATTTTATTTTTTATGTGAAAACATTTAAAATGTGAACGCGGGCTGCGTATTATGACAGAACGTTCCGTTATTATGACGGGCCGTGGGTTGAAGACCCCTAGCTTAATTGTTAGATAAATATTTACTAATAGACACCCTCAATTAAAAATATCATACATAATGAAAATAAAGTGAATAAAATAAATTATGATTTTAAATATAGATGAATTTAATAATTTTTTTCATTTTCAATTAAAACGCATAATAAATGATATTATATTTTTAAATTCAACAATAAGAAATGTAATGAGACTGAAAACGAGTTATTTGACTATTATTATAAATTATCTGTGATCAAAAAAAAAAAATAGTGATAGTTTTGATAGATAGGATTTTTCGTCACGTACGAGATTAATTACATAAGTTATTATTACACATATTATACATAAGTATATTATTTAATAATTTAGTCTTTATTTTAATAAAGCCCAATGAAATATAATTCTAACATTTCAATTGAATTTAGATTTAAATATGGTTATGACATCAATGAGTTTTTAAATAATTTACATTTGGTATTAGATATTAAAGTCGTTTGTTACATTTTTCAATTAATATTTATTCATTTTTTTAATAAAATTAATTATAATTAGTGTTTGAAAAAAATTCAAGCACTGAATTTACGGTTAATACTATAAAATTGATTTTGTTCAAAATATAATAGCAAAAATAATACATGAAAATTTATTTCATTTAATAAATATTTTAAATTGATTTCATATTGTTTTACATTTTTAGTATTTCAGAAACAATATTGAAAGTGAAACATTATAATTATTTTGTTATTAAAAATAAATGGCTGATATTATAGATATTAGTAGTAGGATGATTTCGGATTTTTTAAATAAGATTTTTTTTATGTATTACTCATAATAAAGCAGTAATAAATACATATTTTTTTAAATTATATTAACACATTTAATATAAATAAATTAAGTTTATGTGATTTAAGAACTAATCACGGTTAGAATTTTAATTTAAATCATTTAATACACATAAATTAATAAAATATGAAAACCATTACAACATATAAGTTTAAACATTCAAGTTCAATGAAATACATGAATGGTACATGTGTGGTTGTTGAAAGTTACCATTGTATAAGACTAATAATAATTAAATAAATAAATTACATTAGATAGGTTGAAATAATATTGTGCATTTAATTTATTTATGTAGTTGTATAGAGTAGTTATATATATTATTTAATTTCGTTTTATACATATAAGATATACACACATGCATTGTATTATTATATTAATAATATTATTAATTATATAATTTTATGTTTAATTATGGGTTTTTGTAAATTGACATTTATTTATGTATACGTATTCAAACTATTTTATCAACATTTGAAACTCTTATAGACATTAGGAAATAATATAATTATCTTTTTATACTAATACTATTGATATTAATTATTATATATGTAAACTAATATATTATTTCTTTGTTATTGTCATAATTAAATTATTATTTTATTTGTATACAAAATGTGTAAATAATTTTTCCAAATTTCCATTAAAATTACTTTTATACAACCAGTATAATGCGATTTGAATACTAAAAATGAAAGTAATAATTTGATTAGTAATAATTGATTTGTAATAATTGAATTAGTTGAAATAGATACTGCTATACAAAAGCTTCTTTGACACTGAATACAATATTTAATTTATGTGTTAATATATTTTTATAATACTTTTATAACAAATTATACGTAATTACAATTGATTTTGATGCTTCTATTAGGTATCTAAATTTGAAAATTATAATATGCTGAGAAATGTTCTATACTATTACTTTTAGTAATAGGTTTTCGTAATATACATACAATTATTTTACACATCAATTATTTATACAATTAATCATCACATGGTCGGGTAAAGAGACAATATAAAATAAATTACGTCTAAGCTTAACTATAGTCACGTGTCAATTGACTTAAAGCTTTGCAGTGTTTGCATTATTATATCAGATAAAAATATATATTTGCTGATGTATTAGTGCGCCACAAACCACTGCTATCAATGATGACGGCTACTAAGTACTTACACGCGTCGTAAATTGAACACGTGTCGTTTATGCATATGAATAAACATATATCTAAACGATAACAGTTTTTGTAAGGTTTAAAAATAAATACAAACCAATTTTTCATGATGCGCTAAAAATTTAGATTTAAAATGTAAAAAACATTTTTACAAAACGTCGAAATAATGATATGTATATATTTAATATACAAGTCTAACGCATTGTTAATATTTTCATCAATAATACGAAATTAAACTAAAAAACCTAATTTGAATAGAAGCACATAAAATAATTGTCTTGTAGTATAATATTCTACAGTTGTAGTAAGAATTGAAGAACAGGTTTCAAATGCCAGTTATTTGTTATTATAATAGAATCCACTTGTAAACAACTTAAAGGAATGAAATATAACAGTATCCATATTCAAAAAAAAGTATTTTAACTCCTATGCCAAAAACAATAGAGTAAATCATGCACGTACCAAAGGAGGGGGGGTTAAAGGTTAACCCCCCCCTCGAGATTCGGGACAATTATTAAATATGTTTTTATAGAGTACAAATGGTAAGTACATTACATAAGTATGAGCATTTACAAACTTAAACACCCCCTCCAAAAATATATTTTGTGTACGTGCCTGTAGTATATACATTTATATTGAATATATCTCTAATTTTCCCAATAAAAATAACAAATTAAATTATTGAAGTCTTTTAAACTGTCAGTTTTAAATAATAAAGCTTATATCATAGATTACTCATTTCAAATATTTAAGCTTATTTTATTTTGTTTATTATTTATTATATATATTTTATTTTATTTTAAATTTTTTGATGTATTGGAAATACTACCGAGGAAATTGATAAATTATTTTTCAAATTGCTATATGTATCTAACATCTTACCTAAAAAAAAACTGCATCCAACTTTTGGTGTAAGAGGTAGGTGAACAACTTAAAAAGTATTAACAATAAAAATAACACCAATTCATACAGATAGTACAATTGATATCTCCATAACGTTAATCACAATAACTGAAAATCTAAGTTCACCATTTGTTAAAATGGCCAATTCCATGATATTGTTGTATATAAGAATGTTCTTAAAATATTATAACAAACTATTATTCCATGCGAAGCAGAAATAAATTAATGCAGAGTCAACCAAAATTCAAAGACAATATAAGGCTATAGCAACGACGGTGAGTCAGACGTGGAGTGTGGAGGTTAAGTACAGTTTTGATTAAGGTTAATTTTCTTATTGTTGTAAGATTGAGTTTATTTTATTCAAGTTTTGTTTTAACTAAAATGTAACTGTTTTTAATATTTATTAAATATTTATTTTGAAGTATATAATCACTGTTGTGTAAACTGAGACGTTTACGCCAAGAAAATACTTTTGAAAAAGATAGCAAGACACTAATGTAATTACTTTATCTTCCAATACTCGTTATCGTGATCAGTTGTTCGAAAGTTAAGCGACCTTAGAGTTATAAAGTATAAGTCTTGTGGGGCCCAGTTAAATTATCGTTTTATTTATTACTTGTTATTGTGGTAATCAAAAAAGAATTGAATAGTTTTTTTTTTATACAGGTATTGATATTTATTCGTTTAATAGTCAGGAGAACCGATAACCGAAAAAATATCTAATGTATAGGTCAAACCTTTACGTGACGTATACATGATATGTATTCCGCTGTAATTCAGGTTATATGCATATTAATGTCAAAGTAATATTTATATAAACTGTATTTTAATTAAATAAAATTTAATTTTCTAAATTCAGTATATGATATATAGATTATTCTCTAGTCCTCATTTCGTGAAAGAAAACCAAGTGCCAAATAGTTTGGCACTTATAAGCAACTAATTAGTCAAAAAAATAAAAATAAATA